CATCAATATTGTCTACACTCCGAACTGGATTTGTAGTGGGTAAAATAGCAGTAGATGGCGGATAATCTATGGACAGAGGATCACTTGAATCGCCTGATTGATTTGATTTTGCAACTGATCCGTTTGAATCATTTGACGATTTCTCACTGAAATGGAAGGTAATATTATCAGTTGGGATATGGATGAAATTTGTATCAAATGTAATGACCATCTAAATTTCATATTAACCTTGTCATGATAGCGTAACAAAAGGCATCTTGAATTGTCGGGAAGAAGTATTCCTTTGATAGAGTCGAGAAGAAGTCATTGCTTTGCAACATTTCCCTCATATTCACTGAAATAGTGTTAATTTGGTGAGCGAATTCCATCCTGTTTTTAGAATTAGGAGCAAATTTGAGATCTGAGAGCAAACGACGTCAAAGAGCAAATTTCGTTTTTGAGACAAATTCGTGTCCAATTGAAAGAAACAATTAAAACGTGCCAGTTGCAGCCGCAAACAACAATGTAACACGACGAGATTTAGTATCATGGACGGCCTGAAATAAACACTAATTACCTTCAGTCGATTTTAAGGCTATAGATAAATCCGGATCAAAAAACTCTGATCCATCAGCTCACCTCTTTAAGTGCATTCACTCCCATGCAATCGATAAATGACATACAAGAGCAATCAATTATAAGAAATCTCATGCTCGATACCTCCTTAGTATCGCATCTGTCAGTAATCTGAAGCAATAATGAGAAATACTTTGATAAGAATATCGACTGTATAAGTATAGAATTGGTTACTGATGGGTCGGTTAACTTGAAATTATTTGTTGTTTGATAATTACGGGAATGCAATAATGATGTAGATTGAATGAGGTGATTTATTTCTATTTCATCGAAGATAGAAATGATATATTGTCGAAACCAAGAGCTTAATGCTAGAAACTTTTATAGATCACGGGAAAAGCGATTGATTTCTGATGGTTGTATGAAAATAGAAATGAGACCGAATCATTAGTATCTGAATCACTGTCACTCCAGCTTTTCATCTGCTTCAGGATCTTAGCTTTGAAGTTCTCAACATTCGTGAAGAATAACGGTGAATCGAATCGGAATATATGAATATCCGGATATTGAGAGAGAGCTTTATATTTTTGCAAGTTCTCAAAATCTTCTCCGCCCCCTGTTGGAGCAAGCGTTTCGGATCTAGGCCTGAAATATTCAACTGAATTATGGAACCGTATAATACTTTGGGTCAAGTTATACTTAGTTTGATATTGTGAAATTTTACCGATTCCAGAGTGTTCTGTGGTTCCGTTTTCGTGACTGATAATGATTCGATGATATTCAGTAGTTTATATCTATATGGGTCGGAAGACGCATGTGAAAAATAATATGAGAAATGAATGAATATAATCGCTCAGGGTTTATTTATTAGATGGGAAAGATTCCTGAAAGCGATATCAAATCGCTCCTGAGGCAAATTTCATTTTGAAAGATCTAAAGGGAATGACTTCAACGAACCATTGTGATCGAAAGATGATCGTCAATAAAGCGAAAATGATTGATATCGCAAGGCCCAGCATAACGTCAATCGCTACTGTTGAAACAAATGCCACAAGCCAGATCAACTAAAAAATTTTTGAGTTTTGCAGCATCTGATGAAGAAATTCATAAAAATGCGGAATTTTCATGAATTTATCAAGCTGAAAGTCAATCTCAAGATCGAATTATATCAGCGGAGCTCACAATCAGCTTGAAATGCATGTGTATAGAATGCAATCGAAGAAAGAAATCGCATTTGTTACAGAAACTAACACAATCAATTTTAGAAGCACCCCAGAGACGCTTCAAATCGGCGAGTTTTCGAAACATCGCACGAAGTGCCATGATAATAATCACTGCTAAAATACACTGAAATGATTCGTGTTGATACTTAAACTTCAACAGACATTGTGTTTTTTGATGAACACAGCCCAAAATATATTCAGATCCCTTCCAAATTTTCATTCATAGTCAATTTTGGTCGTAAGACATCATTTTGCCCTCTCTCATGCGAACCTTTTAAACCTTTCGGAAAATCATTGAATTTGAATCTGGATAATCAAAACCCAAAATAAAGTTGTCAGAGTATTAATATAATGAACTCACCATAGGTAATGTCTGCAATAAAGGTCCTAGCCACAAAATTATTATCAGTAGTAAAAGACAACTAAATAAAGCTGATAGCTGAAAAAAGATCGAATGTTAGTCACAGTATTACGTTGAACTTCGAGGGTGATAATCATAACATAAACGAAGAATTCGAAACAGTCATCTGAACTTTTTAAATTTCTGAAATCATCTCACTGGAAAGAATTCGAGATTTCCCAGGTCAATCACTTTACCTGTGTTTTCGATCCACTTTCAACGTTAACCATCGTGCGACCCAACGCTGTCGATACGGGATATATGGGAAATAAACCGCCCAACATTGCCGACAAACCTAGCGCATAGAATTCCTGAAATCTAACAATAAGATCAATCAGATCTGTTGATCCTCCTAAACAGGTGACAGATGATAATTTTGTGCAACCACCTTGGAAGAATATCGCAAATCTATTGAGCCATTCAGGGATCAATTTCTTTCGGTGAAAATATTACTTTTAAACTAAGACTCAAACAAGGATTAACAACGATTAGACTCATCCGTGTTCGTAGAAAGAAAATG